TGTCTAACCTGGCCTCAGAGAAATGATTGATACATTTTAAAAAGTAAGGCTTTGACAGATCACTTCCTCTGATAAGATCCAGTAAAAACAGAAATAAATCAAAATGTTACCAAAACACCTTAACTAGTTGGAAATTAAGAAGCACTTTCCTAAATAAATGGTGATGAAAGGGGTCTATGTTTCATAAACTTTACCAGCCCATAGAGAAAGATGGAAATTTTCCAATTTATTTTGTGAAAGAATAACCTTAATGCCCAAACTGAAATATATTGCTCAAAAAAGAAGATAACTTAGAGACAATCTTTCATAAATGTGGATGAAAATTTCTAAATAAAGAATCCACATATCAAATCCAGATGTGTCTCAAGAAAAAAGGGGTGCCTGGGTGGATCAGTCGGTTAAGCATTCAACTGTTGATTTCAGCTCAGGTCATCTCAGGGTTGTGAGATGGAACCCCACCCCTGGGGCTCTCTCTCCCTCTCCCTCTGTCCCCCCACCCCCCTCAGCATGTGCTCTTTCTCTCTCTCTAAAAAAAGAAAAAGAAAAAAAATACACCATAACCATTAAGATGATTCTAGAAATGCCAGTGTGGTTTAATATTTATAAGTCAATCAACAGAATTCATTACACCAATACTTTAGAAAAGCTACATAATGCTATTGATATTTCAAAAGTATATGATACAATTCAGTAGCCATTATATTAATAATAAAAACTCAAAATAACAAAAGAAGGGAACTACTTAAAATTGACAAAACCATTTTCCAAAAATTGCCAGAAAACTGTATACTAAATGGTAAAATGTTTAAATCATTTCCATTAAAATTGGTAACAAGATAGGGATGCCCTCTATCACATGTATTACTCAACATTATTTTGGAGACAGTATTTCAGCACTGTCCAATACACATTTCCAGAAATGTTTCATATTTAATGCTATCTAGTAGAGTAACCACTAGCTATATGCAGCTATTGAACATTTTAAATGTGGCTAGGTAACTAAGAACCAAATTTTAATTTATTTGGCTTAAATAAATTTAAATTTATTTGTTTAGGCTTTTTAAGTTTTTTTTCAGTTTCAGTGAGTTAACATACAGTGTTGTATTAGTTTCAGGTGTACAATATGGTGATTCAACAATTCCATACATCACGCAGTGCTCATCACAAGTGCCCTCCTTAATCCCCATCCCCTATTTCACCCATCCCCTCACCCCCCTCCCCTCTGATAACCATCGTTTGTTCTCTGTAATTAAGAGTCTGTTTCTTGGGGCACCTGGTGGCTCAGGGTCCTGGGATCAAGTCCTGCATTGGGCTCCTTGCTCAGCGGGGAGCCTGCGTCTCCCTCTGCCTGCCGCTCCCCCTGCTTGTGCTCTCTCTCTCTCTCTCTGTCAAATAAATAATAAAATCTTTAAAAAAAAAAAAAAAGGGTCGGGGCGCCTGGGTGGCTCAGTCGTGAAGCGTCTGCCTTCGGCTCAGGTCATGATCCCAGGTCCTGGGATCGAGCCCCGTGTCCGGCTCCCCACTTGGCAGGGAGTCTGCTTCTCCCTCTCCCACTCCCCCTGCTTGTGTTCCCTCTCTCGCTGTCTCTCTCTCTGTGTCAAATAAATAAATAAAATCTTTAAAAAAATAAATTAAATTTTAAAAAGAGTCTGTTTCTGAATAAATTTAAATTTAAATAGCCACATGAGCTTAGTGGCTACTGTACTGAACAGCTAACACAATAAAAAGAATTGCACCAAATATTGGATAAATGAGAAAATATTATCTATATCTGATAGGCTGTACGATTAGAAAACTTGAGAGACTATACTAAGAAGCTTCCAGAATTGGTAGGTCATGATAAGGGGCTGGATACAAGATAAAATTATAAAAATAGGTTATTTTCTTCCTATACTAACAGTAAGCAGATAGGATTAGCAAACAAGCCTTACTTAACAATGACAACAAAAATGTTGTGAATATCTGAGAACAAATTTAACCAAAAAAGATGATGGACTTCTAGGAGATGACAAAATGTCATTGCAGTATATGAGACATAATCAAATAGAGACTCATGAAAAAAAAAAATAGAGACTCATGAAATCCTAGATACAAAGGCTTATTGTAACAAAAAGCATTGAATCTTCCCAAACTATTATATTAGGGTAATACAGTTCCAATTAGAATCCCAATAGTTTTGTTTTGTTGGGGTTTGGGGGAGGGGGCTGGCATTCATTTTGAAACTTCATTTTAAACTTCAGGGAGTTCTAAGAAAAATAAATTCGCAAGAAGAGAACTCCTTTGAATTCAGATTACAGAGACACAATCAAGAGTTCAGGTCAAGCAAAAAGTTATGTGTGGCCTTGTATGACAAAAGTGATATTTAATTCAGTGGCTACAGGGCAGTGTGTTCCATAAACAGCCAGCTGACATTGTTGAATTTTACCTGAGCCCTGTGATCCTGGTAAACAGTGAAGGTTGAGAAACCCCCTTATTCTTTCATGTTCTGGAAAACCGCTTACTGCCAAGAACTCCCCTTCCCTACATGACTTAGACAGGACTCACGGATGCTCCTGTTGTTTACCTATGACAAGGACAGACACAGAACTTCCAAATTCCCAGTCCTTGCCTCATAAGCATTGATTTAATCAGAACAGAATGCTTGTTAGCCAAATGTCAGTCGAGCGTCCCTCTTTCCCACAGCCTCCTGAACTTGGCTTGTCCCCAAGCCCGAGAAAGCACAAAAAATTGTGGAATGTGCCCGCTCTTCACAGCCTCCCCTGGGAGGGAATCGACTGACCACAGTGGGCACTTTCCCATCAGGTCAGGTGCTACCGGCCATTCTCCTGCTAATGTAGCTCCCCTCCCACAGATTCTGCTTATCTTGGCTTGCCTCCTCCTTACCCTATCTATAAAAGAGAAGCCTTTTTCTGTTTGGTTATGAGATAATGGCAGATTTCTGAAATGGAAGCTTTCTCCCTATTTGACACAAGAACAAAACTTGACCTTGACCTCATACCCTCTGCCACAGTAAATTCTAACTAGATTAAAGGTTTAAGTAGAAAAAAATTGAAGCAATAAAAATGAAATAAATGTTAAGACTCTTTTTGGGCAGACGTGGAATGGGGGAGGAGGACCAAGCAAGACAGGAAATACAGAAGCCAGGAAAGAAAGTTTAGACATTTCTGATGAGAGACTACATCTTTCTAAACACATACTGAAGGACACCTATAAAAAGCAAAGGAGAAAAAGAGTTAGGGGGGAAATACTGCAATGCAACTCACAAAGGGTTGGTATCCCTAATGCACAAAGGGCTTCTACAAATCGATAAGAAAAAGACAAATTACTCCAAAGTAAATTGGACAAAGGATATGAAAATCAGCAGAAGAGAAAATCCAAGTGGTCAACAAACAGAAAAAGATGCTGTGTTGCGGAAGCAGTCAGGAAAATGCAAATTAAAGCAAGTATTTACTACTGGCCCTCACACTGGCAAACATGAAAGACAACATCAACATCCAGTGCTGAAAAGATTTGCCTCAACGAACTCCTATTTTGCTGGTGGGGGTAGGCATGTTACAATCTTCTGGGGAAGAGATTTGGCTGTATCTATTCGACAACAAAATACCCTTACCTGAACCTAATAATAAACTTCAAAATACAGGAAGCAAAAATTGACTAGCACAATGAAAACCTGACCTAACAATACAATGGGAGAATCTCTCACCTCTCTCAGGAACTCATGGGGCAAGCGGAAGAAAATCATCAGGAAGGAAGTACATTTTTTTAAAGGCCCACCTAACAAGCTGGAGCCAACAAACCCATATACTCAACCCAACAACTGGAAAATACAGTCTTTTTAAAAATCAGGAGATGAAACAGTTTTTGAAAACTGGGCCCGTGCTTGAGCCTCAAGGCAAGTTTCAACAGATTTCAAAGACTCAGCATCATTCAGACAATAGTCCCAGACCACAATGCAATTAGGTGAGAAAACACTAACATCAGACTAACTTTGTGTTTATTGGGGGAAAGGAACAGGGTGTCAGGAATTTTCTGCACTCGCTCTAAATTCCTTCTTGGTGTCGTTAATTCCGAGAGGATTATGTGACAGACTGAGATGAGTCCAATCGAAAACAGCTCCTTTCAATACCTGTGGCCCAAAGCCCACCAAACGTGCAGCCGGCGCTCAGCCGCTTTTGTTTCCTTCCCCTACAAAACTCCTCCGCCCTATAAAACTCCCCAAGCTCCAGGGAACGCCGGGCTGGGCTGTTGTCCCTGTCGCAGCAGCCTGAAAAAAGTACACATTCCCTCGCCCTGCGAGTCTCGGAGAAGTTCTGCAAGTTGGACAATGGACTTCTAAATAATTCGCGGGTTAAAAGGGGGGAAAAGTTACAAAGTAGCGCTTGAAACCAAACACTAATGGAAGTAAAGCAAAACTTGGATCTTTAGAACTTTAGCCTTAATGCTTTTAGAAGGCAACCAGGAAGGGTGAGCACTCGATTTTTAAAAAAGTGGACGAACTGCCCCGCCACCGATATCACGGGCCCCCCAGTGAGTCGCTCCACATGATACTTGGTCCCTGGCGCGAAATCACCTCAGCTCCCCACGCCCAGAGTGGTTAAACTCTCGCTGCGGGCGACTTCCGCTTCCTGGCCTAAATCTGACACGCACTACTCCCCCCCCCGTCCCCCCGTGGCAACCACCCAGGGTCGGTGACAGTCGAGGAGCCCGGAGGAGCCCGGCGATGCCCTCAGCCGACGCGGGGACCGAGGCGCCGGCAGGTGGGCACGTCGCGGCGCCCCGGGCCCCGCCGCCGCGCGCCACCCGCGCCCGTCAGGGGCCGTTGCGCTCGCTCTCGAAGGGGAGCCGGGGCGGAGGCCGGGGCGGGGGCGGGGGCGGGCCCGTTGGGGGGCCTGCTGCTCGGAGGAGTCTTCCCAGCGGGGACGGGGCGGCGGGGGCGGGGGGCCTGGCGGCGCGTGAAGACGCCGCGGCGCCCCGGGGGATGCGGCCCGAGGGCGGGGCCCCTGAGCGCGGGGAAAGGCGAGCGGCCGGCCTGCGCCTGGGCGGCCGCTGTGCACAAGGCGGCGCGGGCGGGAGAAGTGCCGGCGGCACAGCCCGCGCTCCCGCCGGGTCGGCTCCCGGGCGGTCCCGCAGGGCCGGATGGGGCCGGGGACTGGCGGCTCCGCGGCCGCAATGACCACCCTTCCAAGATGGCGACTCCCGTAGAGACACTCCCGAGGGGACAGCCATGTTAGTTGCCTGACCGAGTCACTAAAGAACATTTGAAAGCCCGCCTCTCCACCTCCACGCACACGCGCTAACACAGCGCGAGGGCACCCTGTGGGGTGGCGGGCGGCCGGCCGCTCCCGAGCCGACACTGAGCATGTGCGCGCTGAAGTCCAGACACGGAAGAGTCCCTCAGAGGTAGTTTCCACACTTAGGGTTCCGGGACTGGCTTTAACAGAGGCGGGCACAGTTGGGCCAGCAAAGCACTGACATGATGATGGGGGTGTGGTGGATTTCGCACTCAGTGATGCTACTCTGTAGGGTGAGTGATGAGGCTTCTCTGAGGTCACTAAGTAGGAGGGGCGTGGAGTGAGTGACAGGAGTTTGGGGTGAGGGATGGGTCAGTGGGGAAAATAAAATGGGTAGTCCGTGGGATGAGTGATGAGGGTGCTGGGGGGTCTTTCGGGTGAGCGATGAGGAGTCTGTGGGGGAGACGGGTGAGGATTCTCAGAGGTCACTGATGGGGTCTGCCGAGTAAGTGATTGGAGCTGTGGGATAAGTGATGGAGGTCTGTCGGGTGAATCGTAGGGGGTTGGTGAGGTTAGTGATAGGGGGCTGTAAGATGAATGATTGGAGTTCAGTGGGTCGGTGGTGAGGGTGTTTGGGGAGTAACGGGTGGTCTGTGGAGTGAATGGTGGAGAGTTTATGGGGTACTGAAGAATCAATGAATGAATGATTCATTGTAGCTCACTTCGGACCGTGGGGTGACTGTTGCATGGTCTGTGAGGTGCATGATGGGGTTTATTGAGTGGATGGTCAAGGTTTCTACGGTGTCAGTCATGCATTTATTTGGGACTGGTTGATGGAGGGGCCAGTGGAATCATACACTGCCTCACGGAGTCAGTGATGGGTGGTCTTAAACCGAGATGGGATTGTTTCAAAACCCTACCTTGACTTTGTTGGGCCTCCTGTATTTTTGTTTTCTGCGTCATTAATTTCTCCCCTTGATTTCATTATTTCTCTTCTTTGGGTTTTTTCTTTTATTCTTATTTTTAAATTCCTAAGTTGAACGCTTATCTCATTAATATTCAATCACTTTTCTTTTATAATATAAGCATTAAGTTCATGAATTTTCCTCTAAGAACACTTTAGCTCCATGTAACAGATTTTGATATGTAACATTTTCACTATAGTTTACTTCACATGTTTTCTAATTTCTGTTGTGGTTTTCTCTCTCACCCCATAGTTGTTTAGATATGAGATTCTAATTTTCCAAAAAGTTGAAGGGGCGCCTGGGTGGCTCAGTCGTTAAGTGTCTGCCTTCGGCTCAGGTCATGATCCCAGGGTCCTGGGATCGAGCCCCACGTTGGGCTCCCTGCTCAGCGGGAAGCCTGCTTCTCCCTTTCCCACTCCCCCTGCTTGTGTTCCCTCTCTTGCCATCTCTCTCTCTGTCAAATGAATAAATAAAAAATCTTTTTTAAAAAGTTGAAAAAAAATTTTTAAGATTTCATTCATTTATTTGAGAGAGAGAGGGAGAGAGCACAAGCAGAGGGAGGGGCAGGCAGAGGGAGAGGGAGAAGCAGGCTTCCCCGCTGAGCCGGAGCCCGATGCCGGGCTCGATCCCAGTACCCTGGGATCAAGACCTGAGCCGAAGGCAGACACTTAACCAACAGCCACCCAGGCGCCCCAAACGTTGAAATTTTTGTTATTGATTTCTAAACTACACTCAGAGACTGTCATCCTAGTGATTATTAGGTGCAGAAATGGATGTTCCTTAAAGTGGATGGAATATATTGAATTTTGGTTAAATTATTTTCCAAAACTTTTGTAAAATTGGTACTCCCACCTGGTGCCTGGGTGGCTCAGTTGGTTTAACATCGGACTTGGGCTGGGGTCTTGATCATGGGGTCACATCCCCCACTCGGGCTCCACACTGCGGGGGGGAATCTGCTTCTCCCTCTCCCTCTGTCTCTTCCCCCCACACCCCCACCCAGCTCGTTCTCGTGCTCTGTCGAATAAATAAAATATTTAAAAATAGAAAAAATAAAAAATAAAAATAAAAGGGCTCACTCTAACATCCTGTCCCACACTGAATATTGCTGCTTTTTTTTTAATTTTCCCCATTCCGGGGGCCAAACAGAATGGTATCTGTTTTTACTTTGGTAAAGTAAATGGTATCTAGTATCTTGTTTTACTCTGATATGCATTTTTCCGGCAACTAGTGGTTGAGTATCTTTGCATATGTTTTTTAAAGTTTTCATATCCTTTGCTCTTTTTTTCCTTTGGGTGGTTTGTCTTTCTAATTTGTGAATATTAACCTTCTGTCATTTATTGTGATTTTTTCCCCTTTTATCTTTTATATCTTGATTTTTGAAAGATGTTTTCACATATAATTAGAAAAAGTAATTATCTGATTAGAGATATCTGGTCTACGGCCATCCCACCCTGAGCGCACCCGATCTCATCTGATTAGAGATATGTCTTTGGTTCTGAGTCTTGTCTTGCTTAGTGAGTTCTCCCCACTTCATGCTTAAACAAATATATGCCTTAAGTTTAACATTTTTATTGTTTTAATTTTTATTTATTTATTTTTAAAGATTTTATTCATTTATTTGACAGAGAGAGACACAGTGGGAGAGGGAACACAAGCAGGGGGAGTAGTGGGAGAGGGAGAAGCAGGCTTCCTGTGGAGCAGGGAGCCCGATGCGGGGCTCGATCCCAGGACCCTGGGATCATGACCTGAACCGAAGGCAGACGCTTAATGACTGAGCCACCCAGGCGCCCCTGTTTTAATTTTTAAAATTAAATTTCAATCCAACTGGAATTTACTCTGATGTGTGGTGTGAGATGAGATCGAAGTTTGTATTTTCCGTTTGGATAGAAAATTTGCTGGTACCAATCATTAAATGAAAACACTTTTCTAACTCAACTACATGCCACTATTGTCGCATAAATTTCCAAATGTATTGCTCTATTTCTGAGCTCTATTTTTCCTTCTGATATATGTATCTACTCCCTTTCAAAAAAGTATGTTGACTTTTAGAAATACTTTTAATAACAAACAGTGCTAGCCCCTTCACTGTTCTTTTTCTTTCTTTTTTGGTTGTTTTCTTTAATATTCTTTAGCATTTATTCTTCCATGTGAATGTTAAAACCATCTTATTTTATTTCAAAACAACCATTAAAACTTATGTATTTTATAGTTTTCTTCTTTTTTAAAAGATTTATTTATTTGAGAGAGCGTGCATGAGAGCGGGGGAGGGGCTGAGGGAGAGAATCTCAAGCAGACTCCCCACTGAGCTCAGAGCCTGACTCAGGGCTTGATCTCACCACCCATGAGATCATGACCTGAGCCAAAACCAAGAGTCAGAGGCTCAACTGACTGAGCCACCCAGGCGCCCTTATAGTTTTCTTCCTATAGACCCAGCACCTTTTTATAAAAAAAAAAAAAAATTGCATTCTTAAATATTTTACATTTGTTTTTGTCACCATGGTGAAAGGCATACTTTTTCTATTTCCAAAGGAAAAAAAATCTGTCAACTTTTATTTTCTTTTTTGTATTGTATTTCTTATCCAATGCAATGATCAGATTCTCTTGTGAATTCTAGTTGCTTTTTAAAGTCTCTTAGTTTTCTTAGATAGAATGTCATATTGCATCCAGTTAACAGTGATACTCTCTCTTCCTTCCAAATATTTATTCTGATTACCTCGTCTTCTCTTGCATTAGCTAGCACTTTTGGAACAATGTTGAATGATACTTGATAGAGGGTATCCCTATTTTGTTGCTAATTTGAAAGTGAAATGTGTTCATTCATTCATTTATTCGACAAACATTTAGTGAGTACCTTCCCCTTGCCAAAAGACTGGGTTTGAAATCCTACATGACCACTTACTAGCTACATGATCTTTTTTATTTCTAACAGATTTATTGATATAATTCATCTACCATAAACTTATGGTAAACTACCGATTCAAAGCTTACAATTCAGTAGTTTTTAGTATATTCATGGAGTTGTGTAACCACCACCACAATCTAATTTTAGAACATTCTATAACCTCAGAAAGAAACATGGTACCCATGCCTCATTCCCATTCTGTATCCCCCTGCTGCAGGCAACCATTTACTGTCTCTGTAGATTTAACAATTCCAGGTTTTTCATATAAATGGAATCATACAATATGTGGTCTTTTGTGACTCTCTTCTCTCACTTACCGTAATGTTTTCAAGATTCATCCATGCATGCTATGGCATGTATCAGTACTTCATTCCTTTTTTATTACTGACTAATATTCTTCTGTAAGGATATACCACATTTTGTTTTTCCATTCATCAGTTGAGGGACATTTGGGTTTTTTCCACTTTTAACTACTATGAATAATGCTGCAATGAACATTTGTGTCCACGTTTTTGTGTGGACATCTATTTTCATTTCTCTTGGGAGTGGAATTGCTAGATCATATGGCACCTCTATGTTTAACACTTTGAAGAACTGCCAAACAGTTTTTCGAAATGGCTGTGCCATTTTACATCCCACCAGGAATGTATGTAGGTTCCAATTAGTCACATCCCCGCCAACACTTGTTACTGTCTTTTTTTAGCCTAGCCATCCCAGTGGGTGGGAAGTGGTATCTCATTGTGGTTTTGATTTCTATTTCTCTAATGACTAGTGATATTAAATATCTTTTCATGTATGCAGTGGACTGAATGTTTAGGTTTCCCCCAAATTCATATGTTGAAATCCTAATTCCCAATGTGATAGTATTAGGAGGTGAGGTCTCTGGGAGTTGATGAGGTCATGAAGGTGGAGCCCTCATGAATGGGATTAGTACCCTTATAAAAGAAACCCCAGAGAGTCCTTTTCCCCTTTTTGCCATGCAACAAGAAGATGGCCATCTATGAACCAAGAAGCAGGTTCTCCCCAGACCCCAAATCTGCTGGTGCTTTGATCTTGGACTTCTCAGCCGCCAGCACCGTGAGAAAGAAAGGTTTTTTGTTTAAGCCACCCAGTCTGTGGTAGTTCGTTATAGCAGCCCGAACTCACTGACGATGTGCTCATTGGCTGTTTGCCTATCTTCTTTGGGGGGATATCAGTTTAAGTCCTGTGCCTATTATTAATTGAGTGATTTGATTTTTTATTATTGAGTTGTAAGTATTCTTGATATGTTCTGGATACCAGTCCCTTGTCAGATATGTGATT